CAAGTAGTCTAAACTCAACGGTTTGCTGTTGTCACAACAATGTTTGTGGCAGTCTAGTTGCATAGACAACACTTGAGAGCTTGCAACACAGCTGAAAGTGTCGCCGGTTGCAATAACTACAGGTGCAGATTTGTGCTTCAAAAACTCTGTGTAGTTTATGGCACTTACACACATGCAACTTGTATGCGTATGTGTCTAAGTGTGTGTATTATTTGTGTGCCGCCTGCTGGGCACTTAACTGGGTTAACCGTATAGATAATATGCGGCAGGTGGCAAGCAAGTCGCTGAGAGCATCAAAGGACTACACTGTGAATGGCAGAAGAAAGGAGACACATACAAACAACAACAACAACAACAATGCCGAAAGCACAAAAATATAAAACCTTGCGGATTTTCTGTTGTTATTGTGTTTATTTTTTCAGTAACATGTGCTGTGTTTACCGTTGACACTTGCAACATCGCCTAAAAGCTTGCTTGCAACGACGTTGCAATAATGCAGCGCTGTCACTTTGTTTGTGTATTAGAAATTTACACACTTGCCACAATTAGCCGCCACCCAGTGCAGGTTTTGCTAACTATTTGTTGTATTGGTGAGGGTGGGGTGTAAAGCACCCAAGAGCTTTTTTTGCGCGTGGCTGTGTATGCACCATATACAATCATAACCTTAGCTATGCTTTCAACATACTTTTTTTTTTTTTTTTGTTTTTTCAGGCATTTTCCGTGCCATCACACTTGGGCAACGGTAAGCAGCTCTTTTGGCGGCCAAAAGCGCCTAAAAGCACCCTACTTAAAAGTAGACACCCTCTAAGCTTTTATATAAAAAGCTAGCTAGCCAGCCAGTGAAGCCTATGAAAATATCACCTTTGCCCATAGCAACCGGCAACTAGAGCCCGCTGCATTTATTTGYATTCTGTGAAAAATTTCCATATCACCTTGCGTATATTTCCACACACACACACACACACATACACCGGTGTTGCACTCAGCGTTTTGTAGAGGCCTCTGCGCGGTCTTCTCTTGTATGTTGCATACACAAATGCGCCACATTAAGTGGCAAATGCATGTGCACACAGGTGACCTTTCAACTAAATTAAAGTTCTAATCTATTGTAACAAGTTAGGCGTGTGTAAGATAAGCCATTCGTTGTCGAGGTTATTCCACTACATTAACCCCTTGAGCGCAAGAAAGTCACGCGTGCAATGTAAATCAGCTATGCCTTCGTTTGATTCCAGTTAAAATTACATAATTTTTTAGAAATTCAGTTTGAAATTATTATAATTACATGTTGGCGGAATTCAAAATTAGCAGCCGAGCGCGTTACTGATCGTTTCCTAGCGGAGTTGACAATATCAACTATTTTGCTGACGTCACAATAGCGTGCGCTGCAATGAACTGAACAATTTAACATCCAGAGGTCYGTTAAGAATTTTTTAAGAAGATCTTCGCGATATTCGCTTTAGAGGATCAAGATATTTTCTCAAAATTCATAACTACGTCACAAAGATGTACAACGCTTGAGAACGACGAGTGAGGGACTTATTTGATCAGATAACCTCGAGACCGGCAGTTTGTAGAAAACTTGTTCTATTTTCTTTACAAAAATTGATAGATAAGGGATTCGCGAATTGATAAAATATTRCTTTTTGAGGAGATATAAACAGTTGAAGCAAACCCTGACTTGATAAAGAGTTTCTAGCCTTTACCACAAGAAAATCTATCATCAAGTATTGGTATGCTAAAACTTGATGTTGTGAAATAAGCACCGAAGGCGATGACTGCAATAGYAAACACCCAACAMAGAGCGACWATTACATAGCGTTCTTGGTCTGTTTGAAGGAAAAAATTGCCGAAAAATGCAGTATTTGAAGATAAAGAAAGTGCTGTCTTACCAAAATAATGCAACGTGCTACATACCAGTGAAATCCTTGACAAAAATCCATGAAACCGRTTTCGAGTTGCTTTCGCAGCCACCTCATTCTCCAGCTCTGGCCCCCAGCGACTACTTTCTGATCACAGTTCTCAAAAGAATGCTCACTGAGAAGAAATGTTTGTCGAATAAAAAAGTGATCGCCGAAATTGAGGCCTATGTTGAAACCTATTTGAGACAAATCCTACTGCAAAAATGGTAAGTTAGAGGGTCGCTAAAATGGGTGTGTGGGAACTTTGTTGAATAAAAAACGAATTTCTCCCCTCAAGAATATGTTCTACTTTGGTAGGCCGGAGGCATTTGAATTGACCAAATATAAGATGAAGAACTCAGTGACCGTGGTTGTTCGTGAAGTTAGCAATAAAATTCTGATCATAATGACTTCTATAATAAATACTTCTTAGTTTGATAAATTAATTCACTGTAGGCAATATCATACTACACCAGAAAAACTACCATTGGAAAACCTTATCCATAACTGTAATATTAACTACGAAAGCTTTCAATTTTTATGACTGACGGACAGCTGACTGAAAAAAAGATTAAATATCTTAAGGAAAGCAATACTCCGCTGTGGATAAACCTTGATGTGCCTACTTCGTGACCTTAAGCCTATTGAAACAAGTTGATTGAATCGAAAGAAAGTGTGTGGCGGACCGTAGGCCTCAGGTATTAAAGATGTAACAAATGAAATTCAAGAAAGATGACCTCATAGGCAGCGCTTCCATTGAGATAAGTTTTTAAACTCAGTTTTAATTATTTGATGTACTTTATATATTCATTTAACAAATTAAAAATAAATAAAATTACGAATTTCAAAAATACAGACAGATTTTGTTCTCCAGAGCAGAATTTCATTTTTCGGCCGCGCTTAAAGACAACTCCTACCATTTTACCAACACTTTTTGTTTAAATATTTACATTTCCAGCGATCATTAACTAAAAGTATTTATTTTACTATAAAAAAGAGTAAGTACGGCAACACCGATTTCATTTTAAACATGAGTCATAGATACAAAACAGCTGAAACTCCACTTTTTATGCTGTTAGATACATTTCATAGTATTTGAGTATTCATCTTGTATATACATATATGTATGTATATATGTAACTCTAGATTCTACACATGCCCATAACGCTCTTGTGGATTCATATCTATATTTACGCAACTCCGTGCGCTCCAAACACGATGTAGATACAAAGGGTATTCATGCAACAATACAACAACTTCAGTTTTGATATTTTCCAGACTTCTCTTTATGTTATGTGTAAAATTTTTCTTGAAAATTTCTACCTTACTGCTCATAACGTTGTATCAAGAAATCAAAAGATGTCTTACCATAATAAAATATATCATTTCTGAGCACGTTGAGCCTTGGTCTTGGTGTATGAGGCAGTCTTTTGAGTTTTATCATAATAATCTTTTTAATCTCAGCATACAATGCTACGTGAATACCTTGTAGCTACGCAACACCATGAGGGTTGACATTGCTGAGCGCAGCGCTTTGAGAGTAAACAGGTTTGCAGTGACAGCTACTRCCGTTGCAGAGCGCTGACTCACTCAAGCAAGCAGCGCACTCTCAGGGGAATCTACTTTAATACTCTGCCATCTGCTGTTCAATATGTTCCTGTCCTATACCCTACACAGCTGTTGAGACTAAATGCACGCAGTTAAGTCTCAAAATGTTTTTTTTTTTTTTTTGTTTTTTTTTGAAGTCAAATAGAACTCAGAAACAGTATCTTCTCTACAAAAGAAGAATTAGAAACCGCGTAAAGTCTACGAAAAACTCATTTGAGCTACCAGCGAGCTTGGTGGGCGATTATTCCGAACATTTCTACATTGAAGTCAATATTTTCAAGATAGTAGAAAGACTTGAGGAAACCATAATAACAGCAAATAACGTTCCCTAGCATGCATTTTCTACTAAAAACTATGCTTAACTAACTCTTCAAAATATGTGTTGGGTATAACTATGTATTCCACTTTACTCACACACACTATGTGTGTGTAGGTATGACACATACATACTAATTTGTCCAACCTAACAGACATTATTGATCGCTCTCTTTGCTACCTGCTGCCTTGGCTGCTCAGGCAGAGCCAGATAAGGTAATGTTTTTCATTGAAACACAACATATGTATCTCTGTATGTAGATATATATATACTTTTGTATATCAATGTATGCTTGAAAATATATATACACAATTTTTCAGGAAACWCATCTGCAGAACAGTCAATCAGCAATTCTGCATAATTCATTCAAATTGACGATTCAAAAACTGAGTCAGTATAATTGAAATTGGACTCTTTCCCTTCTGAGCATCTGTGAAAAATCGTTAAATGCATTCTGAGTTGACCAAATGCCGTTGAAGCATTCTTCGTGTGCATAATACATATAAACATTAGGGTGTGTGGTGTTTAAATAAAAATTTTACTTTTTTGAAAAAGAGTTTTTTTAGAGGACTGAAAAAATATCTAAATTTGTGTTAAAAATAAATTTGAAGACTGTAGATCCCGTAAATATTTCATAAAANTTTGAAAAAGAGTTTTTTTAGAGGACTGAAAAAATATCTAAATTTGTGTTAAAAATAAATTTGAAGACTGTAGATCCCGTAAATATTTCATAAAAGCCGTATGTTCAGAACAGACCCCAATATTTGATAATTGGGTTAGTGACAGCCGTTTTATCCACCAAGCAACTTAAGATTGGTGTCCCTCCAAGGAGACCAAGGGTACCTCCCGGTATTTGTTGTGGAATTGGTGCTAAAGAAATTTTTTGTGTAAGCTAAAGTATTTTATAGTAGAAAATATTTTGAAATACAAAAGATATTTTTGGTCTTTATAGAAAAAACATTATTAAAAATCTTCATACATATTTTTTCTACACTTCCAACTTCCTTCAACTGGCCTTCAAAATCTACACATAATTCGCATAAACATTTCGTTTTAAATTCTCCCCTAACCACCCTAATGTGTCTCCACAGCCCAACATTGACAGCTCATTGTATTGAGAGAGCAACTGAGCGAACGCTCAAACGCCAGAAACAGCCAAGTGCAGATACACAATCTTTTAACGCATGGAGAGAGTTCGTCCAACAACTGGCCGGGAGTAATAAACGAACAACGGACGCGAATTGATTTCGGTGTAGTCGCCAAATATTTACGTGCACGTMGATTTTTTTTGCTTGGAAGTGTAACCAACCTAGATATTTTGTTTATACATATTTCTTTTTTGGTGTGTGTCTTTTACACATTCTATCGCCTTCGATTACCATGATGGGCGTTGTATCAGACTTTGGGCAGATAGCTACTAAATGGGATTTGAAGAATCTGGAAATTCGCACTATGACGGTGGAGAAAACATTGGAGCCGCTAGTGCTGCAGGTGACCACCTTGGTGAATACAACMGAGCCGAGTAAGAAGAAGAAAGGCAAATCGAAACGTGCCAGCGCACTGGTGGCTTCCATTGAGAAGGCAACCGAAAATTTCGTCATCAAAGGTGAACAAATCGCTTATGAAAATCCAGACATAACACAGGAGATGTTGGCTGCCGTGGAGGAGGTGCGTAAAACCGGTGATGCCATGAGTATGGCGGCACGGGAATTTGCAGCTGATCCCTGTTCATCGTTAAAACGTGGCAACATGGTGAGGGCGGCACGTAATTTACTATCCGCCGTCACTCGTTTGCTTATATTGGCGGACATGGTCGATGTACACTTGTTGCTGAAGTCCTTGCATGTCGTCGAAGMTGATCTGAATAAGCTGAAGAATGCYTGCAGTCAGGATGAGCTGCTGAATAATATCGAACAGTTTGGTGAGAATGCCGGTGAGTTGATCAAGCAGGCCGCCAAGCGGCAGCAAGAGTTGAAAGATCCACAATTGCGTGACGACTTGGCAGCAGCACGCGCTATGCTGAAGAAGCACTCAACTATGCTGTTCACCGCTTCCAAAGTGTATGTGCGTCATCCGGAATTGGATTTRGCAAAGTTAAATCGTGATTTCATATTGAAAGAAGTGTGCGCGGCAGTGAATACGATCAGTGATGTGGCGCAAGGCAAGTCCTCGCAACCAACCGAGATTTATAGTGGCGCGGGTGAATTGGCAGCAGCTTTGGACGACTTCGATGAGGGTATCATCATGGACACTTTGACCTACAGTGAAGAACATTCGCGTCAGTTGCTGGAAGAGCGTTTGGAGAGCATCATCAGCGCGGCAGCTTTGATGGCTGACGCAGATTGTACACGCGATGAGCGACGTGAGCGCATAGTTGCCGAATGTAATGCTGTGCGACAAGCGCTGCAAGATTTGCTCTCCGAGTATATGTCTAATATTGGACAGAAGGATCATACACCCGGGCTGGATAGAGCCATCGATCAAATGTGTCGCAAAACGCGCGATCTACGACGACAACTGCGCAAGGCGGTAGTTGATCATGTTTCCGATTCATTTCTGGAGACATCTACGCCACTCATCGATCTAATTGAGTGCGCCAAAACGGGCAATGAGGTGAAACTACGTGAGAAGGCGGACATATTTACCAGACATGCKGAAAAGCTAGTGGAGGTGGCTAATCTCGTCTGCAGCATGTCSAATAATGAGGATGGCGTTAAAATGGTACGCTTCGCAGCATCGCAAATTGAGAGTCTCTGCCCGCAGGTGATTAATGCCGCATCGATTTTATGCGTGCGCCCGAACTCGAAGGTGGCACAAGAGAATATGGCCGCCTATCGGCAAGCATGGGAGGCGCAAGTGCGCATACTAACCGAGGCGGTGGATGATATCACAACAATCGACGATTTTCTGGCGGTCTCCGAGAATCATATACTGGAGGACGTCAACAAGTGCGTCATGTCGCTACAAATGGGCGCGCCACAAGAGTTACGCACCACAGCTGGCGCCATACAGGGACGCTCGGCGCGTATTTGTGATGTAGTCGAGGCGGAAATGGATAACTATGAGCCATGCGTTTACACCAAACGCGTTATGGATGCTGTGCGTGTGCTTAAAGAGCAAGTGATGGCCAATTTTGCGCAACGCGTTGATACCGCTGTCGATGCGTTGATCAACAATTGCAGCCGYGACGTTGATGAGAATGATTTTATCGACGCATCGCGTTTGGTTTACGATGGTGTGCGCGAGATACGACGCGCAGTGCTGATGAATCGCAATTCCGATGAACTGGATACGGACACAGAATTCGAACCGGCTGAGAACACAATGTCCGAGACGCGCAGCAAATCGAGCGCACAAGATGGTGGCCCAACAGTGGATGAGTATCCCGAAATTAGCGGTATTTGCACAGCGCGTGAAGCTATGCGCAAGATGACGGAAGARGATAAACAAAAGATTGCCCAACAAGTGGAACTTTTCCGACGCGAAAAACTCACCTTCGACTCCGAGGTGGCRAAGTGGGATGATGCTGGCAATGATATCATCTTCCTGGCCAAACATATGTGTATGATTATGATGGAAATGACTGATTTCACGCGCGGTCGTGGTCCCTTGAAAACAACCATGGATGTCATCAACGCCGCCAAGAAAATTTCCGAAGCTGGCACGAAACTCGACAAACTAACACGCGAAATCGCCGAACAGTGCCCGGAAAGTAGYACCAAAAAAGATTTACTCGCATATCTACAACGCATAGCGCTCTACTGTCATCAAATACAAATCACATCGAAGGTTAAGGCCGACGTACAGAATATCAGTGGCGAATTGATTGTATCCGGCTTGGACAGCGCTACATCATTGATACAGGCAGCCAAGAATCTGATGAATGCTGTCGTGCTCACGGTTAARTACTCGTACGTCGCCTCAACGAAGTACACGCGTCAAGGCACCGTTACATCGCCCATTGTTGTTTGGAAGATGAAAGCACCGGAGAAGAAACCGCTGGTGCGTCCCGAGAAGCCGGAGGAAGTGCGCGCTAAAGTGCGTAAGGGTTCGCAGAAGAAGGTACAGAATCCCATACATGCCCTGTCGGAATTCCAAAGCCCCGATGGCGCGGTCTAAAATAGTTAAAGTAGCAATATATATATGATAATTCTTGACATTTCTCATACAAAACGGAAATGTATGTATTCCTGGGTATTAGTAGGCATATAACAATTCATGTCCRCTTGCAAAGTTCGACTGAATAAATATGAATAAAGACAAAGAAATAAAATATTTTGATTCTCCGAAAATGACATGCGAGTAAACTTCACTTAAAAGTCGACGAAAGCTTGTAAAAAGCGTTGTTTGGAGTATGCCGCTTTTTCGCTAAGTTCTACTTTCTTGCTTGCACCGTTATTCATATGCTCATTTATTTAACTTTTATTTTACTGTATTTAATTTATAACAAATAATATTGCATAATATAAGGGTTCATTAAAAAATAATAATAAAATATATTATACAAAATATTTATTTTTACRTATCGTCATGGTTGTAAACGGCATGTGAGTATATACGTATGTATGTGTRTGTTTTCGCGAAAAAATATYTCCAACAGTAAATTTTCAGCTCTTCTCCAAAGTGAATAAGTAAAATAGGGCGAGAAAAAACATAAACAAGGTTCTGTCATGGCAATGCACAGAGCAAACGTCAACTATTTTGTAATATTTTTCCTCGTTTTCGCTTTTACACACCTTTCTTTACATGGTTTGCCTTCACATCTTCTCAGCAATATGTATTTTAAGCCGCAGTGAAGTACTTAATACGCGTACCTAGAAAGGTCTGCTGTTATGCTGCAAGTTCACACATACCCGGTAGGAAATGAAAGGCACTGAATTTGAGCAATATTTACAAGAAATAGCTTTATAATGGAGCTTATGTTTAATCTAAGTTAGCACTTAAGTAAATAGTTTAAAAAGTGAAAGTTTTGCTTCACTTCTGCAATAACGTATTATGAATGCGAGTTGGAAACTTGTTGTCTCCTTCTGCTCTCTTAATCAGTTTTGGAATCGGACTCGTTGGACAGGATACGGTGATTCAAAAACACAAGCTTACAAGTAACACAAAAGGTGTCGAGAGATCGTTGAAACGATGCCTCGTTCTGGACGAACTTCCACCTCTTCAACTCATAAAAATATTAAAAACAGTGAAAGATATGGTGCTTGAAAATCGTCAGACAAATGTTGGAGAGATGGCAAAAGAACTCAATAGCTCATAAGTCCGCTCGTATAATTTTGGTGGTTATTTTGGGTATGAAACGCGTTCTTGATCTACTTATAACAATAAATCAGATTTCTGTTTTTTTTTTTTTTTTCAAAAGAGTGCKATCGTGAACGAATTTAAAGCCAAAATTGCAAAGAATACTATCAATCGACCACCATATTCAACAGATTTGGCTCCATGTGATTTTTTCTTGTGCCCTAAACTGAAATTGCCGCTCCGTGGGTCCGTAGTTTTCATTCTATCGAAGAGATATAACAAAATTACCTGAAAGAGCTGAAGTGTTTATCAGAAACGTTTCGAAAGCTGGAAAAATCCTTAGCATAAGTGTATTGCATCTGGTGGGTATTACTTTGAGGACGACAAGATAAATATTTTTGAATAAATAAATATTTTGTATTTTATTTACATTTTCTGGGTACTATTTTGTCACACTGTATAAAAGTAAGTTATATTTTTTTTTAACTACTGTTAGGCATTCACGAACTACCTTTAAAAATTCCTACAGTGCACACTGACTGTGACATTTAATRTTATATGAAATCAACGGCTCGCTCTCTATATCTCTTTCTTGGTTTCATTGTTCTATCTTTTGACAGCAGACAGCATGGTTTTGTAGGGTGGCTAATAATGGCACTAAAATAGCAGAATCGTAGATAAATAATTGAGCATACATACATTCGTACATACGAATGTATATATGACAGCACGGCTTCGCCCCATTTAATTTTCTACCATTAACTTTTGTAATTAAAAACAACTCATTAATGTTTTGGGAATTTATCTGATGAGTGAAATATTTAATCAGTAGTGCTTGTAGGTAAATATAGCTGCTTTATATGGCAGTGTATATAAGTAGATATCTTATATACAAACATATATACAATAAATGCATAAAATTATACTATCGTACAATGGCTTGCGTGCTCTTTTCAGTTGCAGCTATGCATGCTGAGAGCAGAGAGMAAAGCCGTGAGCGTATTAACAGAGAGGTGTTCTATGAATGAAAATTTTGTTTTGGGTGCTGCCACATGTTTTATTTTTCAATATTCATAAATTGTAAATGATCTGGAATTTAATAAAAAATTTCAAACTTTTTATAGAAATTTTGGAAATTATTTAAAAAGTTAAGTTATAACAAATTTCCATATAATTATATATGAGTCTAATAAAATAATTAATAGGCAGAGAAAAGCACAAGAGAGCAACTCAGTAATAYAGTTTTACATTATGCATGTAATCAGAAACGGAAATTCTCAAGAAGACTTTACAAAAGTTTATAGGAAGCTTAGACAGTAATTTTAAGGTAATTTTAAGGTAGCGGTAATTTTAAGGTAGCGGTAATTTTAAGGTAGCGTCTTTAACTAAATTTTTATTTGGACATTTTCCTTTAGTAATTTTTCAGTAACTTACGGTTCCTAATTTTGGAGTATTTTTAAAGGATATGCAATGCATACTACTAAAGTAATTAAACGTTGTCTACATCAATTTCCTCTATTTTAGTTTCCTCTCCGCAATTTCATCTTGACTTCACTTCAATATTTACTGTAAAGTTAATACAGAGTGATATTACAAAGATCAAAACTTCCATCTTTATTTCTTTGTTGACCCTGACACCGTCGAGAGTTGTATTTCTCTGTATGAGCCGGTTTGGATGCTGAATTTTTCATCAAAACTCCAGCAATACCTGGTTGGCTCTCACTGTCATCGAATATATTACTCTGAAATTTAGATTTCATTGGAAAAACTTTATTCGAAGCGAACCTGGTGTCTGTTGGCAGTGAAAATATATTAAGCAGTCTAAAGTGCACAATATAAGCGCTTTCGTCGTGAAGTCTACCCGAGATACTAGTCGTGGTTGGCGTCTTTTCATAAATTCAARAATTTGTCCGCCGTCTATTTTAGGTTGGGCCGAAACCATACCAACCAAACGGACCAATATTTTTTAGCCAGACACGCATGCTGARAAATCTCTTCGTAGACCGATTTATACATCAGTAGACTGTTAAGTCAAATATATTTGAGTTTTTATATTAGGCTAATGGTTCTGSAAACCGGGCTGTGAGTAGTAAGGAGTCGCCACTGCTACACGCGGACGTTCCCTTKCCGCTAAACCGATCTACTTATGAAGTACCCTTTAAAGGGCTGCAGGATGACTATATATGCTTCACAGAATTTGTCAAGGAGCGGCGTCTCACGTGGCCCATAAATTATTTTACATCCTTTAAGTGTACGGGATCCGTCAGCATTACATCTGCAAAGCTTCAGCGKACAACAAAGGTATCAATTAGTTCTAAGAAAACTGCGTCATATTAGCTTACATTCCTTTCAGTGACAGATTAGACTAGTGTTCGGACMGAAGCCTAGCAAAAGCTCTTATATCACTGCCAAAACCTAAAAGGCTATCAGTCTTTACTCGTTTCATTAAAAATACAATTGGTTCTCATGAACCTCTATATTAGGGATCGAATTCTAAGAAACAAGCTATTAAGTGCTCCACCTGCCTATAGGRAAAGCAGATCGGTGGAAACTGCCTTGCACTCGGTCGTGTCATGGCTTTCCTAACCTACCCTTAGCTTTTTCAGAGTCAGACTCTCAAAACGAAAAAGCAACAGAAATTCATATCGATCCTTAGACCAACAGAAAACTCGACCCGACCGTTTAACCAGTGAGCTATGTAAAGAAAAATCCAACTTGAAGAGGATGAGCTCTGTGATCTGAGGACCACAACAACCTAGCTCAACTGACAGGCCGCTTCGGCTTTTATCGTTCCTGATGCAGTAGAAACAGCGTTAAAAATAGTAAATGAGGAGGATGTTATGGGGGATGAGATGTAACTCTCTGGGGCATCTATTACACGTATTGAGAAGAAAATGCCTGCAGTACGATACATATATATTAATCTCAACCAAAGGACGGTGGACTGACAGACTTATTCCTGACATCCATTCGCAGATAACTAGATAATATGGGACCCGGATTTCTCCCTGAACCAAGTATTAAGAGGTTGCTTCCGAGACTATCTATACAAATTTCAAAATGACGTCAGTCCATATTGCTCGATGTGCACGGGGTCAATAAAATACTCTGAACACGTGTTTTTGGTAGTTTAACGGTCGAAAATTTGACTGGACTTATGTGTCAGTCCTATGAAAAGTGGAAAGCTATTTGCGAAGCGGCAACTTCCATCACTGCAAAATTAAGACAGCTACAGGAGAATAGGCTTAAGTCCGTCCGTCCGTTTTAGAGAGGAGACGTATACTATTTTGTCAGTAATACCTCTGGTAGTACCGTTTGAGAGTCTTGAATTGAGAGTAGGTTGGATTTAGCTCATTAAAGCTCCACACTTCGACTTTCGATGCTTCCCCCTAATATAAAAAAATGTCAGCAAGATGGTCCAGTCTTTGAATATGAGAATGGAGGTAAAAGATGGTCCACTCATAGCCACAGCTTAATAACTAATAGTTATAGTCTAGTCATACCGCAGAGCCACACAGTTATCAATGTGAGTAGCTGAGGTGAGGTGGCTGAATCCCAACCACGCTAAGAACKACGGCCGAGTACTGAAGGTCACCCGCACTGCTGCATWACGGAATTAAGTCATATTTCGCAACGAAGAAAAATGCTGCAGTAAGAAGCKCCGYTACTTGAAGCGCGCAGCTGCTTAACCAAGACYAAAATGAACAATTGATATTCAAAATGAGTGTGACAGCAGCAGCGASGCATTGCAGGCGCAAGCGAAAATTTCGCATACAATATTCAACACCCACGCAATTTGATATGCAACACGCGCTAATACCGAACTTGCAACGTGCAACATGAGAATAATGTGCGAATACCACACGCCGCRTCATTTCAAAGACTCGCAAGCAATAAACAATAGAATGGCAAATAAGCTCGGAAGGACAAAAACAACAAGGCAGAAGTGTTATGCAAAAAGCACTGTGTGCAGRAAAGCGTAACGCGAGCTAAGCCGCGACAAGCGCTTGCAACAAAGCGACAACGGCATTTAAATGCTGCCCCCTAGCAGCAA